GTCTATTATAATATAAATAAGGATTAGCTTCTGGTTGGGTAAGTCACCATGCAATTTCGTGTCTGTGTCGATTTCGCACTTTTGCACAATATCAATAAAGTCATTAAAAGTTGAAACTTATAAAGGCGTTCCCCCTTACCCTTGGGTCAAAACGCTTTAATGAAAGAAACACACTTTTGAACGCAAACTGGCCAAAGTGGAGAAGTAATTCATTAGAAAACACAATTTCCATCGCGTTTAGCCCGGGGCATGTCTTTTATCCGAAGGAAAATCTAATTTGAGGGAGCCTTTGTTTGCCGCGGGGAGGGGGAGGGGAACTGGAGAAGACCAACTTCATTACACAAATAGTCAGAGCACCAGGAGCTATGAACGCGCCGAGGAGGAGGGGATCCTGCGCTGGGACCTGCTGCGGCAACAAACCAATATATCCACAGCCTATCACACCTGCGTCTCCCGCTACCTGTCTGTCAGGCGCACTGAACGCCGCGGAGGGGGGAGCTACACGTTCTACAGCACAAACCATGAAATAATTGAGTGAACTATCGCAATAATTAAACTTCAATTGAGCGTTATTAAGGGAATAGCGCGACGAAGGGCATCCCTTTACGCGCGTCTCCGCCGAAACGCGGGCTTTAATTTATAGGCACACCTACGAGTTCATCAATTTCAAATTAATATCGGGAAAATAGCTTGATGAAAATGCCAATCACGCTCTTTGAGGTTATTTGGATGTCAGCGTAATGCGGCAGCTTTACAAGACTACATTGTCACCGGCCATATAATCATTAGGATCTTTAGTTTCGCGCCTGCCAGAATTGTGGTAAATTGTGGATTGGGTACAAACCTGGGTACGTCCGTATAGGATGCTCACGAGAGATATAAGGCGAAAGTAATAGGATAATATTGAATTTTCGGAGAGCGACCTTTTACGGAGGCATTTTCATGCAAGTCAATTTGTCTTTGGGCAAACAGTGGAAGCGGGTTTATGAATTTCAGACATCAAAATTCCTTAATCTGTTTTGAATAATCGTCCAAACTACGGAAACTGAACGACCTTTAAATAGCAGCGAGTTTATGGGAAATTAAAGTTGTCAAGTGCACACGTGTAATTTCAGTCACAAAATGACATTTTATTAAAGATTTCTAATATGTGTATTGCCTACATTCATTCTGGAAATGTCTGTGCAATATCTTTGATCATTAATTTCGAGCAGTTACATACCTGAAATTGTCTGCTAACTAGATTCATCATAGTCTTTATTTCTCCGTGCTTCCGCTGAACATCAGTAACGACTTGTCAGACACAGCCAACTCCCTGTCAGACGTAATCCTTTGGTTTTTATCAAGCATATTATTATATGTAATTTCAAATGATTTTTTAAACATTTGCTGTTGGAATTTTAGTTATACGAATACGATGCACGCTACTATTGCCCTTGGCTTTTTGACTGGTAAATACTGCGATCAAATATTCTTATCTTTTCCCGAGATATATCTCTGTCGCTGCAATCTGCACACTTTGAGCTTGTTTATGATAATCTCGTGTCCTTGGCAATAAATATATGTCCATGGTTTACCGCAAACCATATATTTATATCGCCTCCAGACACTTCTGTTTGTTTTCAGACTTTGACTCTCTGGATCGTTCGTACCTCGTGTTTTTCGGACAATCTTGTATATAGCTCCAAATCAAATGGCTACCAAGTTTTTTCTTGTATATGTCCTATTCGATCTTTTTCCATCTGTCTATCTCTAGCTGACCATGTCTTTGCCTTATTCCATCTCTCCATCTCCAGTGATTCCCAGGGTCCCGACCAGATCATTTGAACGGAACAAATCGGCCCAATCGGCCGCCTGCTTTTTCTGCCCACAGAGCTTCATATGATCCTTTTCTTCCTGCCTAGTGACAGGGATAATCGAATGTTGCCGCCGAATCGAGAACTATGACAAAATCGACAAATGGGAAACGGAGGATCGCTTATTCCAAGGCCGGGGAATTATAATGCAATCAAATAGATATGGGCACTCAATGCGTAGCAGATGATTCCGAAATGACAAGGATTTGATGTCGTTTTAATAGCTTTACTTTATGCTTTCTGCTACATATGGTATATGCTTTGCATTATGTTGTAATAAAAGTAATTCCCCTAACGGAATCTGCTATGTTGAGCTCGGCGCGGTTGTGGAGCGGCCTTGTGTCCCCCGGTGAGAAGAGATCAGTTACAAGCCGAAAACGATGTTCTCTTCACTCCGGAGTGACGTCACGAAATTTACGCGCGGAAACAGACGAGGCTTTAGTGAAACTGACACGGGTAGGTTATCTCTCTCACGTATTTAATGGCCGTGGAAACGACCGCTTGTGAGTGATTGGTAAGTTGTAATGGGGGTGACAAGGGTTACGGGAAGACAGTCCGATCGACGCGATAATCCATTTACCCAACAATCCCCCCAAAACCCTCGGCCGAAATTGCCCGAACCAATTATCCGACCGTTACTTGGGGAGCCGCGTTTTGCGGAAGAACGCCGCGGTCTACGCCAAATTGAAGCGTATTTCATTAGGTACGAAACGTCGCAGTATTTCACTCACTGGAAATTGCTTGCTCTGGTGATAATTAAGCGAACACGTCACTTGAAAGAAACTTAAAGGTCCAATCAATTGCGGACTCAGTGGCGGCGACGTGGGGAGGGGGGCGAGATCTGGATAATGTCGACTCCAAAGTGACAAGTGTTCGTTCATATATCTCATTATTAATTGGACTTAACGAAATGTTCTTGGCTTTCGCTTTGATCGAGGGTGATAAGTGACGGGCTTTGTGTAACGACCGTGTTTTAGCGGCGAGAGGGTTTCCCGGATAAGCCCGCGATAATGTTCCATTTTTGCTCTATCTATATCTTGGCGGGAAATCCTCCTCTCTCGGAGGTGATGTATTTGTGAAATAGACACCGGTACTTTGTGGAGTGCTCGCTGAAATGTACGACTAATGTCTTACCTCCTGGATGCAGCAGGGATCTCTGGACGCATTCCAAGGAGAAACCAAAGACAAAAATAAAGAAAATTTCGAAGCATGTTCCCTGAGAAAAAGGGGAACAGACGGTTGAGGTAGTCCGTCGTGTGAAGGGGATCCTGCCCCAGATACCGTGGGACTACCGCCGGGCTATTGTTGGAGCGTCCGGAGGGCCACGTGTCGGGCACGGGCCGGGGCCGGGCAAACAAAGGCCCTGTAGGCACCACACCGTCAGGTTCCGTGTTTGTACACCATGTGTGCTGCGGTGTAAAACGTGTAGCTTTCAGTGTGATTAAAACTTCTGGTGTAACTTTCTAATGAGCTTGTGACTGTAAATCTCTGTGTACACGGGAACCACGACAGATACAGTTTACCCCATGTTGTACTGGCCATAATCCCTAACTTGCAAAATAAGAGGGGGTGAGGGGTGTACATGTTTTGTCCGACTTTCTTCATTGGTGGCCCATATTTTTGTATATGCTAGCAGTTGCCTTTATTTCTTCATTTCCTCTCTTAAAAGTTGCCAAAGTCCTGCTCCTGTTGGCCTTCCAAGGGAATCCATCATAAATTTCGAGCGAGTTTGATCCGACCATGACACCGCTACACCATATGTCATGTATGTATGGATGGGTACATGAATCTCTCGCTTTATCGTGTTCTACTTGACTCTAAAAGGGCGAACGTTGTGGAAACACGAATGTGTGAAACACAACAAAGCCACGCGCCCCGTGTCCCGGGAGACTAACCGGTCGAGCGGTCGTCAGCACCAGGGACAGGGCCCGGCGCTCCCCCGAGGCCAGCCAAAAATCAACATCGCTCCGACCGGGGACGTTTGATTTCCCCTGGAAAATGGCCATTGACATTTAGTGCTCCCCCCAATCAAATATTCATGTGGCGGTTGCCGCAGTATTGTTCAAATGATATGGGCAATTCAGCCGTAACATGTTCGGGTCTCAACCCCATTTTCGGCCACTTGGCGAGTCAATTTGCATGGTATAATCGGCATCTGCGCTTTTTTTACACCGCTCTTCACACCGTAGTTTATTTCCTATTACGAGATCTATTCTGGTTTGAGAAACCGATCAAGTTATTTATGCCGCGAAATGGGCGCCGGAGTGTCGTGAAATATATAGCCGCAATTCGGGGAAACTCTCTACCGGAGAATTGAGGCAAATTGTTTAACACCGCGCTAATGGCGTCCAATCCGCGCTTTAGCCCATCGGTTGCGGATGAGTTATGGGGATAGAAACTCGGGATGTCTCGGCGGCCCGTGGATCATCCCTGCCCGACCAGCTCCGCGCTAAAGCCCGGTATAATTGCGAGCCGGTCCCAACAGACACCGCTGTTGTGCAGCCCAGATATTCCTCACAATGAGCGGTGGCGCGCGGTTGTTGTTGTAGATAAAGTAACAAAAGAACGCATGATCACGTGGGATTCGAACTCTTAAAACACAAACACAGAAGGGAAACCCTGCTCTATGAATCTCCCACTGGTTGTCCTTCACGGATAGGCAACAGTTGCAGGGCAGAAGGTCTCCATGTCAAGTCAAGCAGCGCGCCAGCTGCTCTGCTAGAGGGATCCTCCAAATCGAATTAAATAGATCATAAAAAGACTCTGATCATAACGATATTAAAGGCTTTACTTCAAATAACAAACATCTATAATCAACAATTACCTTAATCTAAGTTGAGGGGAATCGGTATGAGAAAAACGGACTTTTCTGTTATTTTTTAAGAGATTGATTTTGAAAGTGTTCCGGGCCGTCCCGACTACCGCAGTGTCCCGCAGCGTGGTTCTGTCACAGTACCCACGTCTCCCGGCGAGATTCCTGAATAAACCCTTCCACCCGCATGACAAAGAGAATTATACCTCAATCTTTTGGTATTTCCCGGTTAAGAGTTTTCATATCTTTAATATCAGGTATCCTGGCCAATTTATGAAGTTAAGGGGTGTCACTCACGGAAATGACACCTCTACCTTTCCGGTACACATGTACGGGCAAGGGAGCGGGTTCCTGGGTCCCATCTGCGACATGAAAATAACGTGTGATTTTTTTAGAGTAATTACTACTTTTAGCAGTGCTTCCATGCTGAGACGAAACCGTATTTTCCTTCTGTCACGATCCAGCGGGCGCGTGCGTGGATTTGGAAGGACCAAAAGAGAAAAGCGCGTCTACCTACAGCGTGATTGCATACAAATCCCCGGTCAAGAAATAATAGTCATTACATTGTCTTTTCCAAAAACGGGCATAGAAACATAAGCACGGTGTGATTACCGTCTTTGAGCGCGTGAGGAGCTCTGATTTTTCAGATAGAAGCGCTGATACCTGATTTTCCGTGGTAATTCCTGGGGCAATAAAGAAGCCAGCTGTGAAGCGAACAAAACGTTAGGAAAATGTCTCGGTAAGTCAAATGTTCCATGTCCTTTACCAGAGGCAGACGATACTAAACCCCAGTCTTACATTAGGGAAGTCTGGTGGATTTGTTTTTGTTTGATCGGTGGATGGGTTTTGGATCCAGCTCTGTTGAGCCCGTAAGCTCTTCATCGTCGTTCTGCATTCTCTCTCTGTTTACCGCGGGAACAGACGCCGGCAGCCGCGGGCACAGCGCCGATTGCTCGGGTAACGTTACGCTCCTGTACTTAGCACAGGTCAGGAATTTTAAAAGGCTTTATTTTTCGTTTGAATCTTGTCCGAGATTTCACGGTAAGATCGTCAGATAAAACGTTAGGTTGTTGGCAGAAACACGGCCCGTCTACTCCCCGTACGTCTGTTGAGCGCTTTTGTGGTGTCTCTGAGGGCATAGCTGTTTACATTGTACCAACAATGCCTGTTTGCATTTAGATCTGTTCCCCTTTTGTTGCCGAATTTGTTCCGTTGTTGGCGAGTATGTTTTTGCAATTGCCCGTAGCTTTGGGGACCACTTGTAATGCAGTTGGAGTGCCATAAAACACGTACAACACGCAAACTCTGATTATGTACTTCTTGTACATGAACAGGTGAATAATAGTATCTGTGATTAAAAAACACTACACCGCCTTCTCAACATTACCTGCTCTTTTCTCTGTTTGCATTCATAAGTTGTATAAACTTTTTCATACCTTAAATTTAAAGTTCTCAACGGCATCTATCGTTGTATCTGTGGTCTACGATATAACCTTATGCCACACGTTTTGTTGAATAAAAAAGTCCCAGATGTCGCAGTTGTGACTGCCCGACCGGCTACATTGTTCTCCTTTGTAACCAAACCGCCGGGGCAACGTAAAACTACCGGGCGATCTGCCATGCCAGATCTCCTATCTTTTGTCCAAAACATGTAGCCATCTAGTTCAACCGTGTGGAATGCTGTAAAAATGCGAGATCATTTGAAGAGATATTTGTGAAACGTTGGTTTCAGGAGACTAATAATTTTTTTGTTAGTTGTTGGAAATTATGACTGCGAGACACCCGAAAGTGCACAGGATCCAGAGGGAACCAAACATTCAAAGCACATTTTGTTTGATTTTTGTTTCAGGGCTATATTCATAAGATTGTATGAAATTGTCCAGAAATTAACCTGTGATGATTGTAGGAAATGATAGGTTTTCGTCGTGTACGAATTTCAGAGAAAAGTCTAGCAATATACAATGATTTCGGTTGATCTCAGTTAAGCGCTATCTAGTTCCCCCAAAGGGGGTCTTATAATATAGTCTATAGAGTTTCGCTCTATTTCTGCCAGTGTGCATCATTTTAGACAGTGAAGAATTAGCTATGAATGTGAAACTTTGATAGAGAATGTAGACTATAGAGAAACAGATAGGGTCACTTTGTGCACCCTTTAAATATTAAAAAATGGATTTGCGTATTCAAAACTTGGCATGTTTTAAATACAACATTTGATATTTGTTACTGTACTCGTGTATTGTCATTATAATAGTTTTACTGCAATATTTGGAATACTCGAAAGAAATTTGTGGCATTTATATAATACTAACGTTAGTATAAAGATTATCTACGAGTATGAAAACATGTAGTACAGACATATCACATATTACAGCTATCGGTATATCATATCACTGGTAATTCACTTGTACTTGTAACATATATTTTGTTCCATGCCACGGTTATTATATTCTGCTAAATCCGTATAGTATACGTCCGTACTATGTTTACATATGTTAAGCTGAGATTCCGTAGGGATTGTCATGTAAGAATACAGACGCAGTAAAAGAAATAAAAGCAGAATTCTCTTTGTACATTTCGAAATTTGAAAACTCGTCAAATGTATATTTTTCAGGCATATTTGTCAAAGAATGGTAGACATTTTTACCAGATATATCTGGTATTCTTTAAGTTATAACATTACAAGCCAGGACGCATTGATACGGTGGTGTTTCTGATCAGCGCATATTTTGATTTGATTCGAAACAACCCGTCGTCACATTCGAGAGATGGTTTTCATTCTCTTTTGAAATTAAACAATGAAGTAATCCTCCATCAACGAATTATAATATGCATTATCCAACTCCATAAAGGAAACAAGAATTTAGATGACGCGAAGTCCTCTCTGACAAAATGGTGAAACCAGACCTGCTAATGTACATATTTCCAGGGTGAAGATTCACAACAAGCGACGTCCCAATGTATGGAAAATATTTCAATCATCTACGAATCAAAACACACAGAAACTCAGAACAGATATTTTCGTCATGTATAAGCCGTTTTAATGAGTCAATTTGGTCTACTGATACGGTAAAAATGAGCAACATAGACGGGCTTTCTTACCAGAGAAGATTTGTGATTTCCCTCCAACCGCTTGCCGCCATGACAGGAACGGTAACGGTAACCTAAAAGGGCGCGAAAATATCTCCCGCTTATTGTTTAGAACAGATCTAGACAATTTTCCCCGAATTTAGGTGCTAAATTTTACAAGCATTTCTTGCAGCACGAATACTACGGAATCTACTATACAAAATGGGAAAGAAGCAGAACTTCTGACGAGATTTTAGAAATGTGAAAAATATCGTCCGATTCAAGATGGCGGCCGTGCCTCAGTGGGGTGTGGGCTATGTGAGAGGCATTGTAATACGGCTGCTCCGGTTCAATTTAGAATCACACGTAGGCACAGGTTTCCGTGTATGATCTGATGTAAGAATTATGGACAGGAATTCTGGGCCGAAACTCCTGTAATAAGTTGGGTGACTGTGAAAAGTGGGGATTTGGACGAGATTTGTCTAAATCGAATTATCTCCAATCGTGACGGGATCAAGGGGAGGAAGTGTAGAAATCAAATAACACTGGGGAAATCATATTCAAGCTTTTAAAAGTTTGAACGTCAAATGAAATTACCCGGGAAGGTGTGACATCGATGTAGGGAGGTCATCCTTTATCAAGCACTATCAATTTGCTTTAAATAAAAGTGTAAAGAATATTAAGTTCTGAAAAGCGAAGGTCAGATTCAATCTGAGCGGATATAGCACGGCGGTGATGAGGGAAAACGTTTTAATGCCGCTCTGCATATCTCCAAGGATACGTTCTACTGAGGATATGTCGAAATTTATTTCTCTGACATTTGCGATCTAATATGGTTTGTAAAGCGAAATTACATCTCCTTTTTCCAGTAAATTCCACTTTTCGCATTGCGAAGGGGTCACGAGGGGAAACTAAATGGAAGAATTGGTGAAAGTATGAAGAGAATGGCTATGACGTGATTAATATCGCTGACGTGTAAATGGGATTTATAAATCAGGACGGAAATTATAATTCCCTGACCTTTACGTACCCTTGAACCTGATCCTCGCCTTTTAAGACTCTAAATTCAGCGTGGTAAACTAATAAAGGTGACAAACCTCGTGTTAGAATTTCTAAATTTGCCGGGACGTGGCTGACGTGGGTGCCGTATTCCCGGCGTCAGGTCGCGCGCCATATGCAGGCAGAGGACTTTGGGAATACCGCTTTACCTTTCGTCACCCGGATGTCGGCAAGGGAGAACTTTTGCTGAAAGCTGTCATCATCCGAAAAAGCCAGAGTTCAGGCATGGGGATTAAACAATAAATATCCGTATAAGTGGCTTAAAAGAATAGCCTGGGCTTGCCGGGAAGGTTAAAGGCAATAAAACGCGCGCTAAGCCGTGGCTGGTTTCGTGGAGTGTAAGTAAAGGCGCTTCTGCAGTTTTTTCTCAAAGTTGTTGAAAGTCAAACAGTAGAGGTGAGGGTTGATGGGAGAGAGAGGAGGAGACTTTTTCAGGCCAAGTTGCGTGAGAGGCTTACATCTGTTCTTTGCCGTGATGCCAAATTAAAGACGAAGTTGTTTTTTTCCCTCCGAGAAGCGTTTGACCCTTTCCGTGGGAAGGATAGGTGGAGGGAGAATGCCCAAAGCAATTACCACCTAACCACCGTCACTCACTGGAGCGAACGCTGAGAAAAACCAGAGCACCCAATTTAAAACTCGAGTTTCCACCCCGCACAAAAGCTTCCTTAAAACCGTCTAATTGACGGTCACCTTTCTCTACCTTCTAAAAACGTCGGCACAGGAGGGGAGGGAAGTGGAAATATCTTTGGTAAATGCGTGCTTCCCCCTCGGGCTCTCCGTTCGTTTGGCGTCGTATCTGGAGGGAAACATTGGATTTTGCAGTGTTGTGCCCTTCGCTATTGAACCCATTAGCCGGGGAAGCCTGCTCCCAGGGAAATATGCGAGAAACGCAGCTCTGTGCTGTATAATGCGCCGACTTTCTGGGCAGGTATTTAGCTCATTAATAACTGAGATTGAGGAGATTTGCGCAGGGACCGACAGCAATTTGTATCAAAGAGTGATCCTGTTTTCTTGTGTACTGGTCTGTGACTTCTCCCTTGAAAGTCCTTAAGAAGGCCGTTTAAAGTGGGAGCCAGTGTCACAGGCTCTATAAAGTAGTAAGACAGGATTTATACGGTCCAGATGTATCTGTAGAAGCATTCTGTGGCAAAGATTACATAAACGTGTTAATATTGGATAAATGCCATCACAGAATGTCAGCAACTCAACGCCTGTACAAATGGCACCCATGGCACCGACTAAATATGATATGAAAACAATTTTCAGCATCTCGTAGAAGTGCAAAGGTCAATCCAATTATTTTTTCTTTCAAACTGTCACGAAATTCTTTTACGGCAAAATCTGAACATAAGAGTCTATGCGATAGACTTTTTGTCACACGTTGAGGTTTTGATTGTAAAAGTTGCGCGAGTCTCAATCAGAATACGGCGCTGCCACGTTTTCTCATAATAAAATATTGGCGAAAGTACCGAATTTTGAAGAGCATGTGTGATTGGTCGAAGAATTTAAAACAACAATGATGACAACAATTCACCAGTAGTAAACAACAAACAACAATAGCTTTGGTAAATAACAATAGTACTGGCTAGATGTATCAAAACAAGCTCAATAAATGAATGATTCATTTGTATTCTGGTGAAAGTAGCTTCACAAACATTTCAAACATATGGTACACGAAATAAAACAAAATACGCCAAACTAATTTTCAGTACCGGACATTTATGGCCCTCAGTGGCGTTATCGTTATTTGATGTTGTCGGTGATTATGATGAGACAACGCTAGCATCATTTAATCATAATTAGAGAGGTATTATCATTTAAGACATCGCTCAAAATATATCTATCACGAGGTCTTTTAATCATAATTATGACAACAATATCAGACTTGTGATACTTCTCTCTGATCCTTTACTAGTTCTTGTTAGGTACTGGACAAGTCATGTCGTCTTCATTGAATAATAATCTCTCCGTGTGTCACGCCGGATTGCACCCCGAGTCCAAATTGAGTAATGGACTATCTCCCCATAATTTCAACTGTCATCTTATGACGTATTATCGCTAATGCTCGCCTGTCCCCAATCTGACCCGGGTAATCAATAATTATTACTCACAATCGATATCACTGAATGCTTCCTTCATAACATTCATCCGACTAAACACTTTATGTTGGGACTTGCATCGCTCATTATTGATCACCAGTAAAATTTACTGTCAGTGGAAAATGACTTAGGGAAAAATCCATATCTCATTAACAGACACTTCACAGTTACTAACGCGAAATGCATAAAGTTACTTTCCTATTAAAGTTAAAGTGGATCTACATTAATCACTGCAGCGCGGATGAAGATGTATCGGGTTGCGGTGTTTTCTGTCCCGGGTTGGGTGTTCATGTCCGGCCGGGCAGCGAGAAAACAAGGGGCACAGACGCCAGGGGAAGTTTTGTGTCCTGAGGTTAACGGACATTTACAGAACCAGTTTGACACTTATATATCTACTTATAGTATTTCTTTGACACATTGAGTGCATTGTGTATTTTGTAGACGTGACATAAAGCTTTCTCCAACGAAAAGTGCCAATTGTAAACAATGAAAATGTTTAAAAAACAGTGTGTAAAAAAACAAAATGAACCGGACTGTAATCATCGAAATGGCGCCGCTACCAATATATATAATGGAGTTATATTAGTACAACTATTATCGAATATAGTATTGTATATTTATGAGGACTATGTTCACGATTCATTAAATGACAAATAATTGGCAATCTCCTTCGTACTTCATCCAAATAGCTCCACAGATTAGTAATTATTACTCTTAAGTGCCTTCAACTTTGTAATGGTGCGTTCAGCCATATATTCCCTTCGAATACTTTGGATGGTCATTTTCCTTACTTTGGCAATAGACAGAAAAGTCTATGTTACGAATCTATATATAGTATTTCACTTTTATCCCACTGTTGACCAATCCATGCTTATGTGAGAATGTTTGAACTCAGAAGGATGTGGTCAACACTTATCTGTGTATGTGAATGTTTGGTATTTTCTGTTTAGCTCATTAGATCAAGAACAGAACACCAAATCTGCTATTCTATAAAGTTGTTTAAATCTAAAACTATTCTCTTCCCTACAGGGTCCTTCGAACTTGCACGTAGATCCTGTCAAGGTCAGGCACAAGGTCATCGACTCAGGCGGTCAGCAAGCGTTTCTACACGTCTGCAACTGCGGTCAAGTACACACCAGGTCTCCTCGGGAAAACGGCTAGACGATACAGTCATCCTACACAGACATCCCCATTCTTTTCTGATGACACAAAAGTGTTATGAAAGTTGTCACTGATAGTTGGAGTAAAAGGCGTTATTTTATCAGTGATATGATGAACAAGTTTACACCCTACTATCTAGTGTTTAGAAGTCGGTCTCCTTTCATTTTCTCGGAGCGCCAGCTTTAAGTACATGTGAACTTTGTTCGAATCTTGTTGACGTGAATGTCGGCCTTGGTTTACGCCTGAAAAGTCCTTGTAGATATTTCAACTGTAAATGTTTCTGACCTCTTGTCACTACTGTTCTGCACACAATGGCTGTTTACATCTGGTGGTCCCGTGCTGACTGTGACATGACTACTATTGTTGCTCAAACCTGACTACACCACGTACAAAATAAACACACGTCTCGCAGTGAAGTGTCCTCACGTAAAAGATGTACTGACTGTTGAAAGGTTCCTTGTCTTGACAACTTTGGTAATCAGACACGGCATTGAAGGTGTTTCACCGACGGTTTGTTTGCACGATATTTTAACGTAGAATATAACACTAGTAGAATTGCTGTTTTAAGATCCTGGGTCTGTATAACTACCAGGCAAACGAATTAAGGGTCCCCTTAACAACCATTGATCTAAATAATAAAGTAAAAAAAATTAAGACATCCTTTTGTCTGTTTAATTTGTATTTTATTCATAGTACACATTCACTAGTTAAACTGGCAGTTTAATATTAAATTATGCTCGTCTCGCTGAAATATTACACGAAACAGTAACTACATGCCTCTATGAGAGTGAATGACACCTTTTAGTATTACCCAAGAACTAAATTCGAAATTTCGACCTTTGATAATTTAATGGCACCCCATTACAGTGTCATATTTTACAAACCCATGATTGTTGTTGTCTTCAAACTGAAATAAACAACAACAGGACGCATATGTGCGGACAGAAACGCAAAGATAATCAAATACAACAATGATAATGTAATTACCACAAACACTGAAATGATATAGGTCTATTACATTGACTCAGTATGAGCAGTGACTTTTATGAAAAGAAACTTTGTGAAAAGGCCTGATGAATGGGCCGCCCGGTGTGGATCGTGACCGTTTTTCTGTGTGGATAGCTTTTAAGTACGCCGGCTGTGCTGCCGCTACCGATTCACGTTAGGGAGAAGCACTTTTACCCCGGCCGTCGGTTCGTCTCTGCCATGAAATAACGCACACGTGTGACACCGCAAGCGGAAGCTGATTTGTAAAGTTTCAGGCTAGATCAGTACTGACACCCATAGGGCTCATCTTGGCTGGCCCTTGTTCGTGTATAGCTTACCACGGGAAATGGGCGCTGACACATCGGGCCAGATGGGCTCCGTGTCATCTTTAACTCGCGGCTACGCGCGCGCCGTGATTACTGCGGACGGGACGTCAGCCGGGTGAACATCACATCGCCAAGGTGAGGTCAGGGGGAGGCTGCCCGGCCTCCACCTGCGATAATTACACCTTCCCCCGCCCGGACACCCGACCTGCACGCTCCGGACAAATTACCGAGCAAACGGCGGGGGAGTTGTGGATACAATCACCGCCGGTCATATGCGTGCGTGTAACAACCTAAACCTCGCTGTACAAAGCCAAGGTCAACGATTAGAAAAAAGAGTTTCCCCGAAGTACAGTTGTACTGTCTGGTCATCAAGTGGTCAATTTGGGAGAAGTGAGCAGTTTCCTGCGTTTAAGATAGATGGGCATAATTCCAGAGGTCCGGCGGAGGCATCTATAATGTATGACCGGTGGTGACCGACCATTCATTTTCTTGTACCACTTCGGGTCCCTCTGGACTGACCAATTTACTGGTGGTGGTCGCCACACATACTTTACACTCCGTCATGGGCATACTTTACACCCAGGGCTGGAACGCGTTGACTTTTACCATACAGGCGCGTTTTCTTGTCGCAATTTTGCGTCTTCAATTTCACGAAAGAAAACAAAAACACCACAGGACGTAATAAAGCAATCTCATACACATCAGTCACTGTCAATTATAATGTTCTCCCTGAAGGTATTATTACCGTACAGCCAAGTTGATGCTAAATTTCCAACTCCTTTGAACGACGAAATGTATATCAATTGATGGATTTGAAAGAAAAATTTGTCCTGAAGACGTAATCGCTTTTACGCTGTCATTTTTTCGAAATTTCCCCTGACAAGTGATTGAACCAAAATAAAGGTAAAATGATCTTTCACCCGAAACGTAAGGAAACGACACCTAAATGTGATTTTATTCAACTCCACGCCACAAGGTCTTCTCTTGAAATTTTACACGCTGGAAATAGCAAGGTTTAAGTTGATCTTTGGCAGTACTAAAATGGGGAAATTGCAATAGCAATATATCCGTATATTTCCTGTTCCCAACATTTCCGCTCTACCAGAGTCCTTTAAGTTAAACGATATTTAAAAACCCTCAGCGGACGATTTTTCTTAACCACCAGAATGAAAGTAATAACTACGCTCTTTGTTCTCGACTATTTGTATTTCCTTTGTTAAAAACGGAAGGTTTATGTTAATAGGTAATGTCCCTCTTTGTTCGTAATTCAGACTAATTGTCCGGCTCTTAACATATAACCCATATGTGACGGCCATGTCACGACACAGATGACCATATGGCCGCCCGTGCCAGATGGACAATAACCCCCAAAGTGACCATCTCTTTCCGTTGGTCACATGTAATTGGTCCAGTTCCCTCTGGGCCTACTTATAGGTACTTACTGAGGCCGCCGTCCATTTTCTATAATGGACCATTTTCTGCGTGATGAGCTCAAATATTATGTTTGGACAAAACCCTGATTAAACTGCATTAGTGTTTGTGTTGATTGCTTCCTGTGACGACGTCACGTGATTTATGACAGAAGGTGGGTACAGGAAAAATGAGGTAAAATTCTAGCGTCGTTAGTATGACAGCATAATAGAGGCTTTAATGACGAGGTGAAAATATATCAAATGAAAGATGAAGGTTTCTAATATAAATACATGAACAAACCTCTGAGAAAAAAAGAATTCAAACCTCGTTCAACGGCAGCAAACCGGCAGCAAGTCATGCTCACCCAGTTGCCAGTAGCTCGTTGGTTTGTCAGTTGAGAGTCTTTATTTTCAGACTGTGCGATCACTGCGCAGCTTCACATATACAGCGTCTGCAAATGAAATCTTAGTCTGTTGGGCAAGAATCCGAATTGAAGCATGCCGTTGGAAAATAACATTTTAACAACTGGAAACGTAGATTAACTTAAGATACCTTCATGATATCCGAAAAGAAAAACCAGAACAACGTGGCTGAAAATGAAATATACTAATACTAATATATACTTTTGGAATGGAACATACCGTAGTCTTTACCATAAGTAACGCTACGGTTTAGTAAAAAAGAGGTATGATAAAGTTCATAGCTACAAATGAAGCAAGCGTGTGGAAACTAGTATACGATATCAGTTTTGAATAGCGATTAACGAAAACAAATTGCAAATGAAGACCAGGCGCAAGGAGGCGCTGCCCTTCTGCAACTCGTAATCTGTTGGCGCCATGCCTAATCCGCCAATGAATCTTGGCTTATAGGTTCCTGCTCTCAACTTGTTGTGCTGTTTTTGGTTAATCGCCCTCCAGCCAGGCCGACCGACTGACATGGCCCCGACTCTCAACACACCACCTCCCATTACACCCGACATGGACGCACAACCTGGCCGCGCACGCGCACTGGGCTGGCCTTGACATTGGGCAGACAACCTTTGGCGCGCAGACGTCTGGTGAAACAAGCCAGGACCTTTCCTCGCTTCCGTCAGTCGTGTTTTATGTTTGTCGCTCTTTGGTGAAAGGTCTTCGCGACCGGGAATACAGAAAGAGCGCAGCGGGCAATTAAAGAATCGTCTGCCACAATTTGTTGCCCGCAAGGTGCCCAGCAAGCCGGAGCCCTGCTTAAGGCTCTTCAACACGAGCCACTCAGCACAGCTTCTGAAACACCGCGCTTTTTTTTCGGGAGGGAGGGGGGTCTAGCCGGAAATACTGCGGGCGCCATTTCTTGCTTCCTCCCATGCACAAATTCGCAGCGTCAAAACATTGAGGGAAAAATAATGCCTCTTCGTTTGTCACATTACCGTGTACTGTACGATAGGGATAACATGTCAGTGGCCTGTCTCTGGCAGTGATTACTTTGTTTGGGTGCCCGGCCTAACCGGCAATCTGGCCTAAGTGTTAGAGATTGGCGTACAAAGGGGAATCGGAAATAGAGTTAGCCGTTACCTTAAACGGTTTTCTCGCGGTACATCAAAACAGGTTTCGGTAAATATTTCGCAGCGCCCAGTCGACGCTAATGAAGGAATGTCTGTAGGATCTGGAGAGGGGCTGGGGGAGGGGTGATGACGGTGAACTTCGCAACGGAAACGCGCCACGCACGCGATTGGTCTTAACGAAGGGGGAATGGAATGTGAGACGTCAGATTGGAAGGAAGAGAAAACAGAGAAAAACGAAAGTTAGAGAAAAAGAAACACAAAAACTCACGAGAAAGATGGATTAAATGAAAAAAAAACAGTGACGTGAAAGAAAGACTACACCCAGACATCGCAAAAATTACACACTTGAAGAAAGTAGAGCTAAGTACACTCCAAAGACGACGAGGAAATAAAGTTTGGAATCAAAACCAGACGAAGAAGTAGGTAGTCAAATTTACCAGTCTGGCTGAAAAAGCAACAGCTAGGAATCGCATAAATGTGGGAATATTGAGAAAAGCACAATCACTTTGTAAGCAGAAAGTGGTTACACAACGAGCTAGATCACGATTCATCTGGAAGTGATGATTTTCGACATTCACAAAGTTGCCTAATATGTGCGAACAACAAAGGACGCCGCCGTTTGGGCTGTGGTCTTTCTAACCAGAGTGCCTGTCAACAACACTATCTATTACACACGTATTACACCCCGGTTTACCGTCTAACCGACCACCAACATCAGACACTACCACGGAGAGGTATCATGGGACGACCATGGCGTAGACGTAACCTGAAGAGCCGGGCAGTTGAAGTTGAAAGGACGGTCTACCATCTTCAACAAAAGGAAGAAACCAACGGCCACACAGGCAGTCAGAAAAACGACCTTGGTAATCAAACAATTTTCTCTTCAAAATGACAGCAGCCAAAAGTACCCACCATTTGAAGTAACATCAGCAATGCAAAGTAAATCTTCGATAAGTATATTAGTCAACGTGCAGATTCTACTGCAAGAATATGTGTACGGACAACTTACTGACTGTTCAGTCTTTTTGGTGCATGCTATGAACTTTGTCCTTATGTAACATCAGAAACTTTACATTGGTGAATGTGTACGGTTTGACGAAGACAAGAGTCTGACAAGGTTTACATGCATGCAGGTACATGTAGGTTCA